TCTTATGGCTGATTTAATCAGAATCACACAGGCAGTGTGATCAATGCTTTCATTTTTGACATAGCCACTCTAAATCGAGTGTCAGTGACTCGTTTGGACAGGATACTGGCACAAAGGACAACTACGGTCAGTGCGTTTGCATCATGTGACCTTCCTTAGTTCTTGAGGCCTGACCATGCAGCACCGCCCTCAAGCAGAGCTATTTGTGGACAGACTATGTTGTTACTAATAATTACATTTGCGAGGAATTAGAGCAAACTAGATGAACTACCTGTATCACCAGCAGCCCTGATTTACAAAAGCATTACTGTACTTTTCCAGAGTTTTGCTAAAATGTGAGTGAATGATTACTTGAATAGTTCAGTAATGAATCATCCAGTATATGAGTAAACTATTAAGAAGTTTACACGCCCGCACTGCCAGAGGTAACGGAAGCTGGGTCCAACAGTGGTGGACAGAGGAAGAGGGGAAGCTGGCATTGTATTTTCGGAAGTAGGCAGAAAATATCCCCCAGCTAGATTACTTGTTTACATATTTGACACAGATGACCACCATGTTTTTAGGTTAAAACTGTTTAGCACTATAGAACTTATTTTAGCTTGACATGGCGTCTTAAAGGGATAGTTCACCCAAAAATTAAAATTACTCCACGAGAAAGTGGTGTTCCAGTGGATGACATAGGATGATGGCGTAGCGTAAGCTCCAGTGAGAATATGCTAGTCTCGCGAGAACCAAGTTTTGTTTACAGCAAAGGAAAACCTCTTGGCTTATATTGAAATCCTCTGACATTTTTCTTTACAAATCCTCGTTTTGTACTTCTAATTCGTGACCAGTGTTTTGTTTTGCTTTCTCTTCTGCGCTTCCGCGTTTGTCACCAGAGCTTACGCTACACCTACGTGCTACGTCATCCACTGGAACGCCACTCTCTCATATACACATGTACGACAGTTAACAGAAGCTAGAGATTGCATCACTTTGCTTCAGAAGGCCTTTATTAACCCCCTTTTTATGATGGATTGATGCACTTTATTTTGCTTCAAAATCGACACCCATTCACTGCCAATATAAAGCTTGGAAGAGCCAGGACATTTTTTAATATAACTCCGATTGTATTCGTATGAAAGAAGAAGGTCATATACACCTAAGATGGCTTGAGGGTGAGTAAATCATGGGGTAATTTTAATTTTTGGGTGAACTATCCCTTTAAGGTCCCTTCACACCAATGACGATATAACAATAACTGCAAAGTTTTAGTAATTGTTCTAAAAGGCTATTAACACCAAGAGCGATAACTGTAATGATAACTATAATTTTGAATAATCATTCTTATTCTGTGAGAATAGAAAAGTGGTGTGGATGCTAATATAGTTATTACAGTTATCATCATAGTTATAATTCTTGGTGTGAAAGCACCTTAAAGGGGTCCTATTATGCTCTTTTACAACGTCTTGATTTTGTTTTGTTACTAGAACAGGTTCTCATACTAGGTTGTTCGAAAAACACATTATTTTTCACATATTTTACATTATTACAACACCTCTCTCCCCAGTCTGGCATGAACGGCTCGAATAGTTCCTGCATCAAATGAAGGCCCGCCTTCCGAAACACGAAATGTGTTGTGCTTGGTTTGCTGTCCCAGTGCGTTGTGATTGGCGAACAGCTTAGACGGTGTTTCAGTACTGCCCCGCCCCTTGCCAAAGCAGCAAGTTCCGTCT